GGGAGCTTTCCTAATGGAACAGCAGGTATAAATAAATATGAGCAGACGGTGGGTAGCTTTTGGAAGCGTGCCAACCTGAAGAAAACATTGTTTAAAAAAAGGTCAGCAATATAGGCGGTGAGGTTAAAAAAGAGGACATCCAAGGGGGGGGAGTGAAACACAACGGAGCGGGGGGGGGGAGGAAACGTAATGTCAAAGGAGGGACAGAAGCAGAATGGAGGTCGGTGGAGGGGCGTGCAATGCAGGTGCAGGCAGGTTTCAGACCTTGGAGAAGAGGCATAGCCCTCCCCGGCTGCCCTCGCACGTCAGGTCAAAAAGAAAAGAACAATTGAATATAAAGAAGGCAAAGACGTGGTGGCACCTTAAAGGCCGACTGTTAGATTTTAATATGAGCTTTCGGTGGAAGACGGTCCACTTCCTCAGACGTAAGACGTGACACTTTTGCAAGAGGTTCTCTCCAGAGCCTCCTGCTCCGTCCTCTCCTCCCCGGGGGGGGGGGCCTGCTTGCCCCGCCCACTCTCCGAACTTCGGACACCGCGGTCCCGAACCACGGCGGCCCTTCTGCGGCTTCCCAGACCGGCCTCCGAGGTTCCTCAGCCAAGAAGGTCTTCACCTTCCAGCGCATCATTTATTTGCTCAGTACAGTACGTTGTAGGGACGTGGCGGCGCTGCGGGTTAAACCGCAGAAGCCTCTGTGCTGCATGGTCAGAAGAACAGCCGTCGTGACATCGAATCCGCCCGACGTGGCTTAGCTCCTGCCATCCTAGCTGTTCGAAAGCGTGATAAATAGGGACCACCTCGGTGGGAAGGTCACGGCTTTCCGTGTCTAGTCGCGCTGGCCACGTGACCACGGCAGATTGTCTGCGGACCAACGCTTGCTCTACGGCTTGGAAACGGGGATGAGCACCGCCCCCTAGAGTCGGACACGACTGGACTAAATGTCAAGGGGAACCTTCACCTTATTTTTCGTTTCCCGTTACTGGACTCGAGTGTTCCGTCTCTCTGCATTGTAGGATCGCTATAATTTTGGGCCGCAGTAATTATTCACCTTGGCGCTTTTCCTTGGTGGCTCGTCTCTATCCAAGAAATTCTTTGCTTTCTGCGACAAATCCACATTTCAGGCGCTTCTGTTTTTTCTTTCCCTTTTTCAAATGTCGTCCGTGGTCACGTTCCCCGCGTCCATTCCGCCTAGCAATTCTGAGAACAGATCACGGCGTACAAACGGCCTGGTCAAGGCCGGTTCTGAGATCCATGGCGCTTGGCAGGCTTCCTCGCGAGGCAGCTGCCATCTCGGTCCCGTTTTTTGTCGCACGGCCAGGAGCTCACTTTAGACCTTCTTCAACGGCTTTTCCGGACCGATTTGCTTTTTAATGACTTCTAGTAAATGACTGACAGCCAGAGTGGTTGGTACAGTGAAGGGAGGGTCCAGCAGGATTCAGTGGAACCCCCTCCCATCCCTTTCGGCGCCCCTGTTTCAACTGTGGCTGACCTCCCCCCCGCCATCCCCCCCCGCTATCCGCCGCCGTTCCTTCCTTCCTTCAACGGCTTTTCCGGACCGATTTGCTTTTTAATGACTTCTAGTAAATGACTGACAGCCAGAGTGGTTGGTACAGTGAAGGGAGGGTCCAGCAGGATTCAGTGGAACCCCCTCCCATCCCTTTCGGCGCCCCTGTTTCAACTGTGGCTGACCTCCCCCCCGCCATCCCCCCCCGCTATCCGCCGCCGTTCCTTCCTTCCTTTCCTTGGAAAAATTGAGGCTCGATGCCCAGGGAGGGAGGAGGAGGAGACGGGCGTTACTTCAACCGCCCCTCGATCCCTCCGCCCAGGGAAGAGGGATCAGTCCGTTATTCCAAGGAAGCTATTCCAAGGAGCTCGGCTTGATCCTTCCAGGCCGGGAGCCGGTGTGGGTTGAAAGCTACCTCCGGGTCACCTTCCTCCCGAAGCCGGAGGGAGCTGCTCCACCTGCTTGTCCCCCCCTCCCCCCTCCCCAGGCACCGGAGCCGAGGCGAGGGTGTGTGCGGACCTTCTCGCCGCTGCCTCCGAGCGCGTCCCCCCCTCTCTCTGCAGCGCTCCGGCCACGCTTCCCGCCTGCCCAACACCGGGGGCCCTCTCCTCGGAGCTCCTCCGGCGGCAGGGAGGCAGACGCGCGCTTCCTCGGCTCCTGAAAAAACAAAACGAGCCGCGCCGGGGCCACGAGCCCTTCGGAAGCCGCTTGGGGAGGGGGGGGGCGTCAGCCCGAGCTGCCTCCGCTTCTCGCCGGGACCCTTCCCTTCCCTTCCCGAGA